CGAGGGCCGCTGGCAGAAGCCGCCTTCGCGCCCGGCGGCGTGGGAAGGGAACGGGCGTGAGGGCGGCGGTAACGGGCGTGGCCCTCGCCAGAGAGCTGAGGGGGCGCCGGGCCGGGACTGCAGCGTTTCATCTGGTGGGGGAAGGAGGGAGCGGTAGGGTTCAGGACCTTAGGGAGGACGGCGCAGGGTGCGGAAGGACGTGGGGCCCCGTGTGTGATTAAACGGTGAGGGCGATCTTGTGAAAGCATGTATCGGAAACAGTGTTCCTATCTGCTTTGCATCCGGTTTGGGGCAGCTCGTCCTCTTGCTACTTGTGGTCAGGTGTCACTTTGACATCCGCCTTGCAGCTGGTGTGCCACCTTAGGCATTGGGAGGCAAAATTGTTAAAGCCTTGGGAAGGTAAAAAGAAGGCAAGGGTGGTCCTCCCTTTGGGGGTGCAGTCTTTCCAACTTGAGGTGCTACTGTAACTCCTCTAAGTTAGGAGGTGTGTTCTGTTTTGAAGAAACAAATAAGAACTGTTTATTTAAAGCAACTGTTGGCTGTTAAAACAGACTATTAACAAACAGTGTTTCTTTCAAATAGCTGAAGTTTTCTTCTCTCGGCATACTTACTTCCATATGTCCAAGGCTAAGCCAATGTAGTAGAGTTCAGTAACGTAAGAACAGGCTTTTGTATAGTCAGATGCAAAGTCAGCTCTTGAATTTTTGAGAGATTCTTTTACAAAGTATGCAAATGTTATACAGAAACGTATTGCAACGTTATGCTAAAACTTCGAATCACAGTATTTGTATTGTGAAATACAGATGTAGGTTTATTAGCTGTTTGTGTAGAGATATTGGTAAGGTTTTTGGTTGCCTCATTAGTAAATGGCTTCTTTCACATGAGGAAATAATTATGAAAACTGTTACTAATAATAGTAGTTAAACTTGTAAGTAGTAGCATTGTCAGAAGTCATGCTGTAGATGTGAATTTTCTTCCATATGTAGTGGTACAGGCTGAAGGTGTTGTGACTCGCATTGAACCATGTTAGCAAAGAATTGCTCATTGGATTGTGACAGTTTTCACAGGTTCATTTCCACAGACATGGGTTGGGATGCTCATTTGAGCAGCTCAGCTGGCAAACTTGAGGTTGGTCTTAATCTGTAAGGATACCTGGGATGAGGAGGTAGGGGCTATAGTCTTTATAGATCCGAGTTTCAGTTAGATGATAATGAGTGTCCACAGCTTAGGTGCAAATGTGTTTGCTCCTTGCATTTTTAGTGTGTTTAAATACAACTTAGAGTTTGCATTGTTGACATGGTATCAGCAAACACCTGCTACCAACTTGCACTAGGACTGCCAACATCCCTGTTTTTTAACAGAGTTATCTAACAGTAAGGAACCAGAGAAGAGGTGCAGGTAACATCCACAGTGTTGACAAGGCTAACATATAAGTGATTTCATAGAGAAGAAACTGCATTGCTTCGCTTATTCTCAAACTCCTCTGACTGAAAGATTTGTGAGTGTCTCAGTAGCACATATTTCCAAATTATTCTCACTAGACTTTTGTATTATCTCTGAAGTGTATTATTTTTTTTTCTATACTTTTTAGTGTAAGCCTTGCACTGTGGTGTCATATCACCTTTGTGCTCTTCTCTTCTGAGAAGGAACTGATGATTTTCTCTCACCTAAGTTCTAGTTGTAGTCAGGAAGCGGAGCAAGGGACTGAAGAGTCAGCAAAACCTCAAAGTGGTTCGTTAGGAGGTAGCTGGAATGGAAGACCACTGTATGTAGCATTTGATACGGTCTCATGGGTTCCATGTGCTTTTCCATCTTATTACCATTTTATAGTTCCGTTGTAAGTCAACTGTGGAGGACAGCAGGTAACATCTTTTATGTGCATCATCAGACTTGCTGTTTGCTTTCACAGAGGGCCACATTTTGTGATGTGTGTTGAAGAGAATGATAGCACACAAGCTGGATGGGGAGAAAACTTGAATCTTCAGAGTTCTGATGACAAATAAGAAGTGCTACTCTGTTTTTAAGGTCCAAGCAAAAGTATAAAGCTTGCAGATTGGAGTGTATTTTTTCTTTTTTCTTAATGAGCAAATTGAGTCATTAATACATAAGGCATTTGTTCATTAGCTTCACAAGGAATGGGGACAAGTAAAATTATGTAGTAAATGAGCCAAGCATATATTTTAGGTTTGTGCAGGCAGTTTGAATGAAAAGCTTGAAGTTGTGGTTAACAATCTTGGGTATGTGATAATATCGGTGTGTTTTTACTTGGAAAAGGGAGTGGATTCAGAGTGCTAATATGGTGTGTCTGACTGAGTTTGAATGCAAACTTGGAATCATCGTAGAATCACAGAATCGTTTCATTTGGATTTCGGTGGAAAAGAAATTAAAATTGAGTGGAAGTTAACAACTGTTCTCTTTTTTTCAGTCAAAGCAGTAGTGTCAAAACAGCCGCAAGGAAAGATACTGATTTTCTAACTTTTCTGCTTTTTTTTATACCATGTTCCTAAACTAATCATTTTTTTTCCTCTTAACTGTAAACTCTAAAGTTTTATTTAGCGACTGTTAAATGCTAAAATACTGACCTGTGATTTCAACTACTTTTTATTATTTTGCACAGATGAAAGGAAAAAAGACTCAATCAGATTATGATGCTTTAGGTATGGCTCCAGTGGAAGAAGAGTATTTTACTGATTTGGTGAAAGCTAAGCAATTGGCACTCAAAACTAATAAGGTGAAGACAAGATATACCAATACATACAGACTGGAGTCACATAATAAGTTTCGGGATTATTTAGTAAGAGACAGAGCTCAAGCAATACTAATGGTATAGTATTTTTTACAATTTGTTGTCTACTTTTATGGAAAAAGTAGCTTGTCTTGCAAAGACTGTATTAATTGAACAGTGAACAGTGTAGGTTGCATAAATGAAACATGATAAATTTTTGCAGACTTCAGCTTTTGGCACACAAATGTAATGTGAGTGTGCTCTGTTTCGCAAAGTGCAGAAGGCCTTCTGCAGGGTCGCCACTGAGCATGTGCTGTTAAGATGGAGCTGAACTTTCTTAAACTCTTGCCCATTTCTAAATCAAATTGAGCTATAGCACAATTCAGAGTACTGTAATCTGCAAAATATTCAGTTATCCAAGGATTCTGACCTTGAATTCGTGGAATGCTACTTCTTCAATTGGTTCTAGTAACATCATGACCTGCATAAAATATATACGTGGTGTCCTTGACAAGTCTGACTGCCATATACAAAAATTAGGCAGAAACGAGGGAAATCAATCTGTTGAGATAATATGTAGCTGTTAGTGATACCTTGAGTAGTTACAACCAACTCTTGTAATTCTGCTGCCTGGAAGACATGCCTTGGATATTTGGAGCAGGTGTTCATAGCAATATTTTCCAGTGAACTGAGGCCAAATGAATGAGAACACACTCCTATTTGTTAAATGGAGATTGGCTGGACATGTTTGTCACTTTCAAAATACAGATAAAACATTTTAGAGTAAACATAGCGCAGCCTTTGGTGTTTGAGAGCATCATCTATATTGACTGTTCTACTCATCGTTTTTTCTAATGTTCTTGTAATGAAAATGACTGTTAAACTTTTGGCAAAAGACTACCAGGAGGAAAACTAAGATCTCTCAAAATTGTTTTTGATAGAATAAACTTCAGCAACACAAGTATGATGGAGTTTCCAGTCCCTCCTTGTGTGCTTCAATCTCTGAAGAAATATTAAAGGCTGTGAAGGAATTGGACTTTGACCGTTATAAGTATGTGGTATCAGTACTAATTGTGGAAAAGGCAGGCCAGGCAATGAATGTGAGCAAAAAAATTATTCATAATACCTTTTGTAAATGGAAAATAATTTTTAGAACTGTATGTTGTCTCCGAGGCATTCCTCTGCATTCATCAGCTTAACTACTTTGAGGTGGTCTTGAAGCCTTTAGGTTTTTTATGGGGAGTAGAATGCCAGGTGACAGTTTTAAGGTACTGCTGTGATTCTACTTAACCCTGTGAAGGCTGTCTTCTTTTTGAGGTCAGGAATGAGTAAACTACTCTTCCATGTCAACCAGTTATTTCCGCTGTGTGCTGTGCACTGAAGTGAATTTTCTTTTTCCAGTATATTTTGATCTCACAGAATCATCTAGATTGGAAAAGACCTTGAAGATGATCCGGTCCAACCATTGACCTAACACAGTTCCCAACTAGAGCGTGTTCCTAAGCGCTAAGTCAGTCTTACTATTAAACACCTCCAGGGATGGGGACTCTACCACCTCACTGGGCAGCCCATTCCAACATCTAGCAACCCTTTCTGTAAATAAATGCTTCCTAATACCCAGTCTAAACCTTCCCTGGGGCAATTTGAGGCCATTCCCTCTTGTCCTCTCCAGCTGGGTTGTCACATTTGGTGCAGTTGTAGCGAGGCGTAACATGGGAAGAAAGGGATGGAAACAGTTTCAACTGTAGCTGCCACCAACCATGCTCCTTGGACTACAAATGAAGATTAGTGATCTGAACTTATCACATCCCAGAGAAAAGTATTCTAGACTTTCCTGTGTTGTATATAAATTTACATGTAATGCAACCTGCCATTGGCATTCAGAACGCTTTTAGGTATTTTGCCGAGTGTCAGAGAGCACTTTGATTTAGGAGTGTTCATCATCAGCTCTTAAAACCTGATGAAACCATACCTGTTTTTAGCGGGTTATGTGAAACAGTGTTTGAAGGGTTGTTGGCTTCAGTAATGAAGCTGCTCTGAGGGGCCTGCATCCACCCGCTTTTCTCGTGCTGTCTCCCAGTCCGCTGCCTCTGAGGTTGTACTTTGGCGGTGGAGCCGTAGGTTAGAATGGATGACTGAAATGGAGGTTTTTTTTCTCCTGAGATACATTTATTTCAGCAGTCAATTCACACATTTTAGCTTTGAAAACAGTCTTACCAAAAAAGCTGAGAGCCGTAATGCTCACAGGTAGACTGGAATAAGCTGGAGGTGGAGGGGTGGGGGATGTGGCTTCTCCAATAGATGTTTATTCACCTTGCTTTCGAAAGGGTGTTCTTACAGTACGCTGAAGTGCCAGCAAGTGAATATGACAGAGAATTGAGGTTTTGGTGTAGAGATTTTTGGATCTGACGGGGTGGGAGCAAGAATATGTGTTTTAACATTGAACATGACTTGTTCATTTGCACTGTAATTTTGCAGATGTTACTACTTGTAATTCTTGTAGTGCAATTATATCCGTATTTATATAACACCGTGTGTTCTTTTAAGGAAAAATATCCAAACTGTGTTTATAGAATCATAAATGGCTTTTTCTTTTCTTTCCTTTAGGTTGCCAGCAGATGGGTCTGGGATGCTCAAAGAGACACTTGGGTTTCAGCTAAATACGAAACTGAAACATTTATTGCACTGGCTTTGGTAATGGCTTGTTATTACGATTAATACTCTCAAAGCCACACCTGGTTTTGTGCATCACAGTACGTGGTATATTTTAAAATTTTCAGAATCTCATTATTTTGGTACTAATTTTTGTCCTGGCACGTATAATTGAGATAACTTTGCTCATTTTTCTCTGTTAAAAAAAATCCAAACCCAAAGAAGTGCTTTTGAAATGTGTATGGTTGAGTACATATGGGCTTCATCTGTCGTAACGCTCTGCTGTGGAAGTTGAAGCAGCTGGTGTAAGGCCAAACTTTGCAAAATTTTGAATGTTCTCGTCTGTTGCATGCCTGGAGTTGTTAATGAATGTTTACAATAAATTGCAGGTATCGGTATTCTTAAGAGCACGTGTTTTGTAAGAAAAGGTGGTGGTCGGTTTTTCCTGGTTTTATCTTTGATAAAATGCCAGTCTGTGTAGCAACCGTGGGCCTTGATTGAAGTGTGAGTTCAGTCATGAGCTTCCCCGGGCCTTATGCGTTGGGGCTGGTGGCCAAGCCCTGCCTTGGGCGAGGGTCAGCATTTCAGGCGGGTGGCCTCTGACGCAGGAGGGCGATGGGGTCAGTAACGAGGCTACTGAGGCAAGGACGGCAATGGTGTATTCTGAAAAATAGGGCTCTGGGTGGACATCTGCTGTGGGAACGGCCGCGTGTGGGAAGGGAGCGCTGGCGGCTTTGCCGTGCCCGCGGTGGTGGTAACCGCTGATAACGAACGTGCGTGAGCACGTTGCTCGGGTCGCGGACCGTGGGGAGCCGCGAACGGGCAAAGCCCGTGGGGCGGCCGGGCCGGCCCCCTCCCCCATGCTGCATGGGGATGTGTGTGTGGGGTAGATGAGTCAAAAATGGAGGAGTGAAGTTGAGCATGAGAATGTGGAGAAAAGGTATTTTAATGTTTGTCTTGTTTTTCACTACCCTAATCTATTTCAACCGGCAATAAATTAAACTATTTTTCCCAAAGATGAGTGTTTTGCCCTCAGTGGTAACTGTAAGCAATCTCTCTATCTCAACTCATGAGCTTTCTCATTCCATTTTCTCCTCTTGTTTGATAGGTGGAGAGGTGTGAGCAGCTGGGTGAGAATTTGGCTGTTAGTCAAAGCTAAACCACCAGAACAGTTAGCAGGCTAGTCAAGTGGCATTGAATCTGAACTTTTAAGTCCTACTGGATATTCACTGACTGTGAAGGGAAATGCAGATATCTCTGCTGCAGTCTGCAGTTTATCGTCCAATATTTGGGACCCTCTAACTGTCTAGTGCCTCAGTTATTAGGAGACTAACCGTGCAATGAAGGAAAAAAAAAAATGGAAAACCTACATGCAGTAGTAGTACATCCTGAAAAAACAACAGTCTTCAAATTATTACAGATTATGACCCACCTTTTCAAAATTATTAGAGAATAGGGAATATTATTAGAAAGTTTATTGTGATCATTTTAGAAAAACAAAACAAAATGTTGAATTTTCAATAGTATTTAGGAATTTCTTGAAGAAATAACTGGCAACTAATACTTCTCCAAAATCCTGATCAGAGCAATAATGAAGTTAGCTATCCTTTCCCTTAACTAACCAGGTAATATTACAGTTACTATTATTGCCATTGACCATTGCTAATGCCATACTTTGCTAAAAAACTTCCACCAAGGCAAAACCCAGCATAATCCTGGTAAAAAACAAATGGTATCAGTGGTTGAAATTTAAAGTGGATAGAAAATTGAGCTGCATTTTCTAAGACAAAATAAAAAAAAAAAA